TTAGGGAAATACACATTTTGGCAGACACACTGGCTCCCATGAAAACAATCAACTCCCAGCTGACATGTACATAATACCCCTCGTGACCATATTAATCAATTTCAGCTAATAAACGATTACAATAAAAAGTCAGAAAGTTTCCCTCAGAGGACACACATGCAAACAAACAATCACAACAACGGCTGTTCTTTGATAAAGCTGCAGGTTCCAGCGTAATCCTTCATCATCACATCAAACCTCACTCCTAAAAGAGATGAAACAGCTACTCGATTGGAAAATGGTCAATCCCAGAGAGCAACAGGGAGTCACATACAGTATAGCCTATCTGCTGCTCCCAAGGAAAACAAGCGAGTATTGGAAAAAGGGTGTGTGAGTGAATGTGTGGGGATTACAAAAAGCTGCATGACCTCTCCGCCTGTCATCTCAACGCAGTGTTTATAAATGCAGATATCAATGATTTAATAGCGAAGATCTCTGTATGTTTACATAATGTCATGACCCTGCTTCACACGCATGAAGCACTTTGGCTGTGTCATGCTGTAATGTGCATCATTAAATTAAATGCAACATTTACAGACTGAACTTGACTCTCGCTCTTGTCTTGACTCTGCACTTGATTGACTTAACTGCAGGTTAGTTGTCCTATCTATAACTAATGCAATAAAAAGATGACCCTGCAATATAATTGTATCATTGTTAAAGTGATCAGTTAGTAGAAACACCTTTTGGTACAAATCAATACAATACTAACGTCAGGCTCTAAAATGACCATAAAGTTAAATCAACACCTCACTAAAACAGGTTAAAAGCTTTTAGCTATATGTACCAATAAACAATGAAACTGTTATATACATGATAAAAAAAATTATATTATGCAAATGTGTCACATGATACAAAGAGAAATTCACCACAGCAGTACAAATACACCATTCTTACAACTTGTAGCAGAAGACTTCCTCTGGATGAACATGCTCAGATCTAGTTAAAACTTCAAAGGGGCCAATGCTGAATGGGGACTAGTTCCAAGAAAGTAGCTGAGCCACTGTCCATCCGTGTGTGTGTGTGTGTGTGTGTGTCCCAACCTTCTGAAAGATAGTCCTGAATAACCTCAGGCGTTTAGAGAGTGGCCTATTTTAAAGAAATATCTCCCTCACAGTTTGCAGTTTGTAATTTGGTTTACCCACTTTTCTGTTTGCTGCAAAATAAATGATGTCGGTTTTTTTAGGATGACATCAATCTTAACTGCAAGTTTAAACATGCATGCAATAGTATTACAGTGAAAGAAGCAGACCACTGAGACCTTAAAATTATGTTTTATACTCTTTGCTTTGTAATCATGGGTGGTCATCATGACTGCACACAGATCAGCTTTTCCACCATGCTGCATGCATCTACAAATCAAGAATGTGGGAAACATTAACCAACTGTTGGCAAATAATGCAATGATAAAACATTAGTTGCATAGTCGTCGCTGGCTTTATTAACCTTGCATGCGAGGCTCCAGGCCGCTGGCAGTGGAGACACCACCCCGCCTCTCAGCCCAACCTGGAGAGACCAATCTTTTCCCCGGCGCCTTGTAGCGGCTCCTTAGCCTTTAGCCAACGGCCGACACTCTTCTGATAGGTAGACTAGCTTAGCTTAGCTACAACAAAACCTCGACTCACATTGCTCTGCATGCTGCTAAACACTGAGCATGAGTGTTTAAAACACAGCAGGGCAGAATAAACCCCAGGTGTAAATCTCTTTGTGTGCCTGGTTGTGGCTACAGCTATGCAGCGGTGGTGAATGGTGTGGTAGACTGAAGCTAGCTAGCGGTAAATACCGATGTATAAGTGGCCAGCTAGCATAGCTCCAGAGCCAAACAACTACGAGTTCATTAGCAGCAGGAGCATTTTTTTCTTCTGGCTAGCAGCACAGAGGATTCATTCCTGCCCTGCCAGCAAACAGCCTGCTGCCGTTTCCTCCGTGAAAAGTTCAGATTCCACAAGGAGACACAAAAGCCACTGTACCTGGTTCTCCATGTTTCTCTGGCCTCAGTGATTGTTGTATTTATTTACAGCGGCGTTTGTGGAGCGTCTCCCCAGCCTCTGCTCCTCATTGTGTGTCAATCCAGCCCAGAAGCGGAAGGCAGACGGCTCCCCTCCCCTTCCAGACGGCTGCTGGCAGGCAACCAAAACAGAAAGCTCTCTCAGCCAATCAGGGGGCGGGAAATTGAAGCACTCTTGAAAGAGACCAATGACTACACTCGAGAGGCGGGGCAGCCGCTGAGCTGCAAATACAATTAAAGCATTTTCTGCTGGTTTTCTCGAGTGACAGCGAGCCTGTCCCAATGGCTACGGCTCTGTTTCAATTGTAAAATGCACATGATGCTAATTGATTAATCGGGGTTCGATTACATGGTTTTGACATTTTAGCTATTGCTATTAGTCTGGCAAATGCAAAATCAATATAATTTTCAAAGACGCTTATAACTTACTCATACAACTTTATTCCTTTTTGGTACAATGTGAATATTCTGGGATTGCACCTATTGCACTATGGCCTACTATGCATTGCAGTTCATATGTTCATCCATAATAAATATACTTTTTTAATGGTAAAATATATACAATTGTCTTAAAAGTTCACAATGTATAATTGATCTCCAGCCAATGCTGTTCTTATAACAATCATAATGCTCACTACTACACAATTATAGTATTCAATTGCAAGTTTAAGATACTTGACTGAAGTTTTTTACATTTAATGCAATGTTGTACTCAACTGAATTTCAGAGGGAAATGTAATGTGACTCAAAGTCAACACTTCCATGTTTGAACAGCTTTATTTATCAATTATATAAATTATATATTTAAATTAGTTGCAGCAAGTGGTTTTCTTGTTTTTTGCAGACTATTTGACTGTATTTTGAATGCAGGCCCTTTTTGTGGTTTTAGACATTGCCTTGATCATCTATATACTATTTTAGTACATATTTGAATTTCAGTGTTAGTAAAACCATGCACATTTCTGTATGTGTATTTAATGTTTACCAGCGATACATGGAAACCTGCTGGAGAAGCTATATTGTTTGTGCCCTAAAAATCATATTTCTTATACACAAATAAAAAATAATTGCCATTTATTGCATCATGCATTGTGTGCATCCTTGAGTTAACTTTTTTCTTAAAGTTGGTATCTCTAAATTCATTTATTATGGCTTCTAAAAATGATGTCTGTTTAAAAAATGTTTAATCTTAGTCAGGGAGCGAGGGTCCATTACAGTCAGGTCTCTGTGGTGCTCAGACTTTGATGTGAGATTATCAGGCCTCAGCTATAGGACAGAAGGTCATCGCTCTCTCGTGCCTCTTCTTCTTCCCCTGCGGCTCAAATGTGAGTTAAAGAAATCCCACCTGGTATTGAGATATTAACCTCTAAATCCTCCTTTTCAAAATGTAAGAGATGGAGAAATACAAAATAAAGCCATGTCGCACAGGTTTCACACACATAACAGTTTTATTGTAAATATTCATAAAAATGGTTATCAACAAGTCCAACTTGTAGAATAATGTGTAATTCCATGCAAATCATGATCAACCAAGATCTTCCAAAATTGCATCCTGTGACTTTCAAAGCCTTCATTAAAACTTAAATATTGTGCACATAACATATGTATCAATGAAGTAATACATATAGTGGTTCCCAACCTTTGAGAAAAACAAAACTGAGAAAAATGTCAGACTAACACTTTGAGGTAAATCCTTTATTAGTGCTCTTAATGACACCATTAACATTATGCTCACACTTGCGACCAGGTTACTCTGTCTAACATTTTAGCCATAAGCATGAGTGGAGGTTGATTGGATTTATCATGAAACGTATTCATCAAAAAAGTTTTGGACAAATTAAAATGTTGACCTGATGATGGCTTCAGAGTGATTCAAATGCTTGTTGTCTGTAAAGCTTTAATGGAGATCCATCAAACCGTTGTTTAGATATTTCACCCATAAACACAAATATCAACCTTCTTGTGGCAGTAGAAAAAAAGTCAGGCGATCGTGAAATGAAAGTAATTTGGATTTGTTGTCTGGCGGCCTGACTCTTAACTAGATTTTGATGTCACAGTTGTGACAAGTGAAAACCTCAACAGGCAGGGGGGGTAAATTCAAAGTCAGGGGATTCCTCCTCTGGCAACCACGAATGTCAACTATCCAAAGTGGTGAATTGACTGACATTGCCATCACTGAAGCCGAACATTTTTAGTGATTCCAGAAATATATATATTTCCAAACCCCTTGGTTGGAATACATTTGATCTAGAGATCCCAAACTGTAAAGCTATTACTTATTATCTATAGACAAGGTGGTGAAAAGTTACAAATATAGGATTCTAAGATATTATCCCCGTCTTTGTATATCGTCGCCATTTACATCTAGGGATTACTTTTATAAAAAAGCACTGACTGCTTTTGAATACTTCACCACCCACAGGAGGTCATTTTAAGCATTGAGGTCCAGAGAATGCCTGAGTGCATTTTCTATTGTTGCATCTTTTGTATCCTTCAGGAAGGATCATGTGAACAGAGGCCTGATGTACCTGAATATTCTCAAACAACCCAAAATCAAGAGCTTTTTGAGAGAGAAGAAAAATCAGTTCAGTTATGATTCAGTAACAAATGTGACATATTTGCAAGCGATTGTTGTGGTCCTGAATGAAACAAGAAACAGATATGACTTGAATGTTAGTAATAATCAAATTAATGTCATAAAGATAAACAGATAAAGATAATCAGCATAACCTGAACAACTCAGTTCAGGTTATGCTGCTTCAAAGACAGTGTATGCCTGTCCTCTGGGAACCACCATAAAATACCACATGCTTAAGAATAATAGTATCCATGTTAACAAAATGTTAACATGTAAAGAATAAAATGTGTATTAATTTCTTCAAATTAAATAACAGCAATTGATTTATATACAAACAAAAATGCTCAACTGCCAAAGACTCTTAACTTCCAAAACTTACATACAAATTCTCAAATGTTCTCCTTTATTAGACAATTTATGGTCTTTAAGTCACTAAATGTCTATCAATAAGTTATATATCAGTCAACTCTTAACACCAGACATCCTCCAGGTCTGTTCACAACAGTTTTTGTTTTTATATTTTCCATATAGTTTCAATTGGAGTAATCATCGAATGTGCTTCAGTATCAAAATTATTCATCATTAGATACATATAAATAATGTTTTTATTTCAAATACAATTTATTAAAACTCTGAAACATGCTGTAGATTATACATAAATACTTTGTGTGTCTCATAGATTAAGAATTGCAATAGCCTTGTGTCGACAATGATTATTAATGTAAAAAATAGAGGGCATATTAAACAATGGGCCTCTTGGCAAAGACATAAAACACAGTTCGATCTAAAAAATGTTGATATAGTGCATCATTTATCACTTTTCTCTCAAGCTTCCCCTTTTCATTATCAACACAAATATTTGTAGCACTTTCTTATACTTATATCACTTTCTTATATCACTTTTCTCTCAAGCTTCCCCTTTTCATTATCAACACAAATATTTTTAGCACTTTCTTATACTGGCTCATACTGGCTTATACTGGTTCATAAATATCTTTGTTTTCAGACGTTAATGTGCAAATGAGTTCTGTTAAAACCTGCATAACTCAACCCAACTCGGACCCCATTTGGTAATCCAGCTAGTGTAAACAATCTTTCAACGGAATCAGAAAACAATCTTATGTGATCTAGTCATAATCCTATGTTATCATTATTCTATGGGACTATTTCCTCACAGATTGTGTCTTTAAGGTAAGAAGCCTCTATGAACACATGAAGTGTGCTAATGCAGATGTGCTGCCGACGTTACACATGACTTTGTTAGCACCGTTTCTGTGTTTTGGTCGTGCCCTTCAGGACAATGTGAGGTATTCCAACAGCCCATCTATCACAGGGCCAGTACTGCAGTCCCGGCAGAGAGTAGGGGATCTCATAGCTGGCATCAAGGTAAGCTATCAGGGTGGTGCCATAGGCCACTGCTATCACTATCAGAATGTGCCTGCAGGAAACAGATAATGAAGATCAATACACGAGCATGCATTCAGAAAAGAAAAAAAGAAACAATCCTTTATCTTAGAAATAATTTTGGCATACTACTTAATTGTATTCATTAAACTTAATTTGCTGAGTGGATAATGTCCTCAGATAACTTTATACAGTGAATAATTAGCTACATTTACACCAAACAATGAATTAGCAGTGTTCATTAAAGCGACATGTGCAAGGTAACACTGTAGTTTTATGAAGGGTTTAGGGAAGGTGGTGGCTTAATAAAATGTGAAATACAGGTATATCTGCTTTAAGTCACTGTTGATTTTTTCAAATATTAAACCTTAACCATTATCTCACCCTCACTGTGAATAAGAGCGTAAATAAAACCATACAAATGTTCATCTTTTTTTTGTTTAATTAAAGATATTGTCAGTATGTTTTTGCAGATGTGTTTTTGGTCGTAAATGTTCAGGTGGTGGTAAGTTTTTTACTGAATGTATTTGCAAAGGAAACGTTTCAAAATAAAAGAAAGTTAAGGAAAGGAAAGCACAAGAAAAGAAGACAAGTAAGCCAGGACTTACCAGATACCGTGCAGGTAGCAGAAATTCAGACTCTGCCAAAAGCTGCATCCAAAGCGGTCACTAATCCAGCAGGAGACAGCGAGCACCCACAGAGCCACCGACACCTTGCAGAGACGCAAAGCCTTCTGGTCAGTGCAGCTGAGGGAGAGATAACACTGGTTATCATAACAAATCAACGCTGCACCCAAACCAGTGACAGATGCTTAAAAAGCACCACAGTTTACATACCATTTCATCTCAACAGCCAGCATGTAAACCATATGAATGCCAAAGCAGTTTAAAACGTAGGCGTTGGCTGTAGGTTTGACAAAGGATGACAGCGTGGAGACGATAGTAATCACCAGGACAAGGTTTGAAAATGTGGACCTGTGAATGAACAGACAGAGAACAAACACAAGTTGCATGTCAAAGGTTTAAATGGTTAAGTCATTTAGCGTATCTTCAAGTGAAGTTCTGCATAAACGACAACTCTTAGGCGCTGCTGTTGATAAAAAAAAAAACACCCGAATTTTTGCTTCAGAAATGACTTACAGCAGAAATATGTTCAAATTCCCCTGCACAACTATCCAAAATATTTAAAATTAAAAAGGTTCTGTTTCCTTAAAGCTGCATTAAGTGATTTTTGGGGTTAGGGGGTGTGAACATAAACTTGCCATATCAACAATTTCAAAGTTTGTTTGGTTACCTTGTTAACAAACTGTTACTTATTTACACACCCAGTAGTTAAGGGTCTGGTTATCATAAGTCCAATATTTGCTTTGTTTTGGTCTCTTCTAACTCTAGAGGGAACTATCTGGTTCACCGGCCACTCAATCTTCCACTTTGTTCACCGGCTAGTTGCTTGCTTTGCATATCTGTTATTTGGTGTCGAGAAGGTATACTGTACAATGAGTATTTAGAGCTTTTTCACTGAAACAGCTGCCTGCTTTACAGAGAAAGTGGCAAAAGGTGCCCTCTGACCTCTGGTACCTCTGTGACTGTTTCTGGTGGGATCGTTTAGTTATCTTTCATTCAGGAGGACCAACCCATGACTTTGAAAAACTGGAATATCAACATGACATTCTCGAAACAGGTCTGTGCGATTCTTTTCATATGCTCATAAAAATTTCAGTCATCTTTCTCTATCTTGTTGTGAAATATTTACACAGGTTGGGTGGAGCTTTTTTTTTCTACAATAGCAAGAGTCCCGATCTGTCACTTTCAGGTGCAGACTGCAGCTCCACATTGTTTCTTTGTGACTCCAGTTGATGCTGTCAAACAGGCTGCACGACAGTACAGGTTGTGTTTCACAGTGGCGTGCCTCATAAACGAACTCTCATTGGGTTTTTTTTGTCTTATTAAAGGATTATTCAGCTTTGTGTGTCTGTGAGTCCATAGTAACACATGGAGATGAATAAAGACAGAAACAAAGACCTTTGACCAACTTGTGTGTTGTTTGGAAATTGCTGTACGGTTGCTTTACCTGTCTTTAATAAAAGAAGGGAAGAGTCTGCGGGGGAACCAGACTACATATACCATCGCCAACACCCACAGGATGGACAGCTCATCCAACATCTGGCCAACGAAACTAAGAGTCATGTGGAAGTACGCCGAGAAGAGCCCTGCAGAAAAGACGAATACAAAATTACTAAAGGGGGAAACAGAGACATATAATGACATAGTCAAACATTTTCAAAGGTAGTCTTTGATCATTTGAACCACTATTTCATAAGATAAGCCTTAAAATAATAGGACAGGAAAGAACAAAAAACTGCATTTAGGTACAAACAATTCTTACAAACTATCCTGACATTTCTATTGTTTATTTGTAATGACTGGTCATTTTACTTCACATGCCAGCAGAGTTGCAACTAACATTTATTTTCATTAACAATAAGTAGCGGTTTGGTTTGTTCCATAAAATTGTCAAAAAGCCACTATGACAAAATCTCCCTTTCTACATTTTGTCCCAGAGTATAATTGTTGTCTAACCAACAGTCTATTCCCTGAGTTTCTAACACAATGTATCTAAAATGGAGAAAGAGACACATATATTATAAAATAAAGGAAAATGAAGAGTAACTGACCTACAAATATCATCATGGTCCAGACCATGTGAATCGCCAGGTTCCTCTCTTTGGCATAAGGGTGCAGAAGATAGAGCATGATGGGAGATATAATGAAGAAGAAAAAGCTGCTAATCTGCAGGGGAAATATAAAATGAATGAATCAGCAAAAACAACGAATCAACTAACCAACTCATTCATATCAGACATTGATTTCCTATTTAAGAAAGGACAAATATTATGACTATATTATTATTACTAGCTTGATTATAGATATTCTTCTGATAACTTCAACAATGTATTGACATAAATGCTGCTGCTGCTGTGATATACTGTACTTACAGTGTTGAAGTACTCCACTATATGTTCGGACTGTTTGTAGTTGTCTTCACACCAGTCGATTTCTGAACTTTCATAGGAGAAAACTCCTGCCATCTTTTCACTGGAGCAGAAACCTGTCAGACAGAGAGAACGTGAACAATACAGACCCATAATAATAATAATAATAATTCATTACATTTGTATTTAGAGCGCTTGGAGTGTTACAGACATTAATGTCAGTTGTTCCCTCAGCAGATAAAGTGAGCCTATCTCAGGGAGACTGCTGTCAGTGTTTGTATAGTGGTTTATGGAAATCAGTTTCCAGAGTTGTATTTTGTATTCAAATGGGCAACGGTACTCTTTTTCAGAACGTTTAAGATAATCGTTTATGATAGTCCTTTAAATGTTCATGAAAAAAAAGAGAAATCGCAACACTTTCTGATAATTTAATTAAATACAATGTAGTCCAAAACCACATTTAACCTATTATTAATTAATTATAAACAATGTATTTGCCACATTTCTGAAAATGTCATTATAAACTCTGTAAATATAACTTTGCTGTTGTATTTTATTATAGTATACAGGTGTCCCTAATTAACAGAGCACAAAGTAAACAGAGGATGACTTTTGTTGGATTATAGTTATGTCATCAAAGATGCATTATTATAGGTTTACAAGGACACAACAAACTCACTACTAATCACCATATATGCACTCTCAGTCACTACAGGAACAACAACAGGAATATTCTAGTGATTTATTGTGAAAGGTGCACTGTCACACCTGTTCTAGTGATAACCAGCTAGATAAAAGTAAGTTCTTAGTTAAAAAAAAAGGTAACTTATATCGTAATTATCAGAGAGTAATGGATCTTACCTCCCATGTTGCCGTCTCAGCCTGCAGTCCGTCGGTGTTGCTCTGCTCCAGGTGGATCAACAGGTGCATCGAAACGCTCCCGAGCCTGTTGTACGAGACCGTGACGTCACTGATAAGCACGCTGAACGGGTTCACATCGCTGGGCAAAGATGCTCCCGAGGTAGGGTGACCAGGTCCCAACAAACCAAATGTGGGACAAGGAGGATGTTTGTGTGGGACAATGTGGGACACCTTCTCAACAGCACCACCCCCCCCCCCCCCCCCCCCCCCCGGGATCTCTATTGCTATTCTGTTTCATTTGGTTTATTCAACAGCATCTAATAGACAATGACAGAAAGTGAAGTCAAAATGCAGTAACAATTTCGTATCTTTTAATAAAGAAAAGTAAACTAAGGCTAACCAAGGCAGCAGGCATTATTCACTTCAAGTGTTTAGAAATGCATCTTCCTAATTCAACTAGTGTATTACCTGTAAAATTAGGCACAACATAAATTAATAGATAAAATAAAACCATAAGTACAAATCAAAACTGGCCAGGAGGGAACAAAAACATAATACATAAAATAAAATAGCTTTCAGTTTTGTCCATCACAGCAACAACAGGTCCCCCCCCCCCCCCCCCACACACAGTGTGTGGGCTATGTTGTCACCTAGAACCGCTGGTGTCTTTAACTCTGTCAAACAACTCTCCACATGACATTTTCTTTACTATCTCAGTCTGGAAAAATGGTCGGCGCTAGCTTGTTACCACAGTCGTTTGACCGGTATGGTTGGGAGTGTTGCACTGTGGTAAACACTGGTTATTTCTGCTGCTGTTACCCTTATATATACAGTCTATGCTGTTACCTTGTCTGAGTGGCCATCGTTTTTTGGTTTGAGTAGGAATGTCTCCATAGAGTGGGATGTCTCTTTTTGAGCGACACGTTTCTTGTGAGAATCGCATTCTCGGTGTCTTTTTACGTCGTATTCAACGCCATGTGAAATTGAAAAATTACTCTTGCAAAGATTGCAAAAAACTCTCTGAGAGTCGCCCTGCACTGGCTTCACCCACGGGTAAGTGTCTTCCCAGTCTTTGTTGTATGTGCATCTTCTTTTCTTCTTAGCTGTAGTTTCAGTTTCCTCCATTTTCCATAACCTGCTACCTCGCCTGCGTTATTGACTGACTTTCGTTGTTGTTGTTTGGCGGGGGCCGCGGAGGGGTGTGTGTGAGTGAGTTACTGGTTAACACTTGGCCCAGCACCCGCCGTGTGCTACAGTTTGATTGACAGCAAACACACCCCCGTGATGATAGCCTTCCCTCTTTTCTCAACAGCTATTGGATAAATCTGATTTTAAATCGTCTCAATTTGCGGGACGCACCAAAAGTCGTGACAATGCTGTGCAGTCCCGCGCAAAGCGGGATATCTGGGTTGCGTTCCGATAATCCAAAAATCAGCTCCTAAATTCTAACCCTATCTCCTATTCCTTGACCTCTGAGTGAAACGTCACGGGGTTAAGGGATAGTGGATAGTGCCACAATAGAGGCTTCTCAATACTCAAATTTCCCCTCCTCGACCCCCCTCCTCGGTTCCCCTCCTCGAGACTTAGACCCGCCCACAGGAGATGCGAGCGGAGGACCGAGGAGGGGAACCGAGGAGAGAGGAGGGGAAGCAGCAGACGTTTAAAGAAATGAGAACTCCTCTCCCTGAGCGGTCATTTTAAAGAGACGTCCTTCATTATTACGTGGCAACAGCTGCATCAGCTGTCGAGTGTTTTGTCATAGCGCTGTATTTTATAATCTCTGTTAGATCAGCTGAACATTGTTCCCACACATATTTACTTTGAATTCATTGAGAGTGCGGTATAATGAGACAATAACAGGCTACAGATGCGGACACACACACACAAATATATTTATATAAATATATACAATTTAAAGTATGAAAGCACTCTCATAATAACGTAACACAATCAGAGACTGGATATATCCCCCCCTCTCTCTGGTTGCTGAAATGGGGAATTGAAATGACGGGCCAAAAGTTGTATTTACAAGTAGGCCTATTAAAAGTAAGCAGAGGACACCAAACCAACTGAGACCCGTCTGTCCGCCGCATTTACGCACTGTACAACACACACCTACACACTGTACAACACACACCTACACACTGTACCACACACCCAGGGCGCCGGAAGCGGGGGGGCCATTGGCCCCCCCACTTTACGGCCCTGCCCCACATTTTCGCAGCAGCGGATGCCGCGGAACCCTGTACACATCCCGTTTCAATAATTCCCCTCTACTCTAAAGTCGCCAAAAGAACGCCATCTGATCTAGTTGTGTATATTTTGTTATTGTTGATTGTTATATTCAATCTCATTAGCTACAGGCATTTTTTAAGCTTGTAAAGGGAAGAACACAGCTCGCCTCTCACTCGCCACTCTGCTCTTCTACAGCGCCGCTTCCCCTCCCTCCGCTGACATTATGAATGTAAGGCATAGTAATCATAGATAACACCGCAGGGTCCGTTACAGTTTGTTTTCATCTGATTTCAAATAAACAAAGTCTTGGCTTTCAGAATATTAAACTTGTTTCGGCAAATTCAGATGATAAATACAGCTTTGAAGCTTTTAACGGCATAATTACAAGCGGAGAACGGAGTAATTTGACGTCACAGCAAGCATAACAACAGCCGGTGTTTCTCCTGAGAGTTTTCCCTGGGAAACAAACGCAAAAATACACAAACACACACACGTGGTATACACGCACACACTCGCGAGCTCCCCCCAGACCAGTAATCCAAACGAAAATATCTTTCCTCCGTACTACTTTGATCATTTGCTCCGCTAATAATCAATCAGATCGATCCAGAGAAGAGGAAACTTTAAGGCCTTTTTCTCAAAATGATGACTCGGTGACAGTCATTATATAATGTGACATATTTTGCTTAATATAGTACAAAAACAATCCTGATATCATTAGAAAGCTAGGAATCTCGTCTTTCCAACAGTGTATACAACTCAAAATGTGTCTTCGGATCAATGCGACTGATTTCGATGGAGCAGGTCACTTTGCATTAGGTAAAATACAGCAGGCAGACATAACAGGAAGAATATGTACATTTTAATCCAATCAAATAGGACATTGTCACACCATTCAAATGTATCCATGTACATTACAACCAATAACAACGCTTAGATGTGTTTATTTGTTACGTTGTTTACGTTATGTGTTACGTTGTTCAGTGTGTGTCAGCCGTTAACCTAGATAGATAAACTTGCAAACATGTCAGAAGAACCGGCGCATAAGAAAACAAAAATACAGTCAAACTAAGCTGAAATTGAACAACTTGAATGTCACATCCCTGACATCCACAACTCCGGAGCCTGGTCCTTCAACCATAGAACCAGCGCAGCCAGATGAACCCCAGCAGCAGCTCTGCGGCCGCAGAGGCTGTCAAAACCGCCGCCGCCGGCATCGTTGAACCGAAACAGGCTGGTTCCGACTGCATGGAGGTTTGTTGTCGGGACATTGTGACGGGCAAATAAAAGCTTATTTGGGCAAAGAGAAGGTACTTCAATGCAGAATGGTACAAAAACAGAGAGTGGTTAATTATTTGCAAAACCACTAAACGAGCCTTCTGTGAAATATGCAGATTTGCTGCTGTCAAACGGCTTGTAACTTTCTCCAAATGTGGAGATGACAGCTTTGTAAATACCGAGTTAATAACTGGAACTTTTCACAGAGCTTACTTCAGTCAAACACCAGTCAACATTCAGCTTGTCAAACAAGAGAGCAGGAAAAAAGAAGAGATGGAATGAGCAACTGCGCTGTCATATGTGGGCTGGTCTGTATAGTTTAATGTACAGGAAAGGAGTGAGCAGAGGGTTGAGTTGTCCATTCTTGTTCTGTTTTCTCTGACTATCTTCCTCCTGAAGACCCTCTCAGACTTTCATTTGCTCGCGCTACTAAAGAGACACGTTACCATGGAAACCAAACAATGGTGTAGCTGTATTGAAGTCCGAGTGGAAACAGTAACATTTGGTGCGTTATGTTAGAATGAAACAATTCAGATTTAGTCAGAAATCGGGAGAAATGCAGGATAAATATGACCCCGGGAGGAAAACGGGAGTCTCCCGCGAAAATCGTGAGGGTTGGCAAGTAGGCTATGTCACATACACACGCACTTTGTGGCCCCCCCACTTCTGAAATGAATCCGGCGCCGCTGCCACACACACCTACACACTGTACCACACACACCTACACACTGTACCACACACACCTACACACTGTACCACACACACCTACACACTGTACCACACACACCCAGTGGCGTGCACAGACATTTATAGGGGCAGGTGCTCAAGAGAAAAAAAAGGGCACCTTCTGAGTCGTCGTGGCGGTCGCGCCGAAATTGTGCGCTCCGAAATTGTGCGCAAAAATTTGCAGGATAATGGCGGATTATGTTAGTTTATTTTCGGTTTTTGGTTACTTTATTTCGGTGTTAGGGTTAGGTTAGGGTTATGTTATTTAATTCTTATTTTTGCCTGATTTTACTGATTTATTATCAAAAAAATAATTATTTTAACATTTCCAATCTGAAGCTAAGGGGGGGACGAAATCCCCCCCCCCCCCCGGGATTGACGCCCCTGGTGGAACCGCCGGCTGCCTTAGTAGTGTGAGATTTATTAAAGGCACATCTTGTATGTCGTAATTGCATATATATTTATTTCAATAACCATATGCTGTCTGATGCAGATGCCTATCTAAAACAAATCAGATAGTAGGCTTACTAGCTTCTACTCGCTAAAGCAACTGTAGTCAGGGATGCAAACTCATCAGGTATGAAAAAGGTGACAAGGATCCGAGCCCCCCGACCCCACGGAATATCGGCTTTAAAATTAGGAATAACAGAGGATTTTAGCAGTCAGAACAACTAAAGCAGCAGGTAATAATAACAGAAACGCCAAAGAGTTACATCTAATAGAAATATATAAAAGCATTTATTTTAATTGTGTAGCAGTCAGTTTATAATTTTGGCAGCACTGTTGAGCATTTTGAAAATGTATTTTCATGCCTTAGTATTTTTATAATACTTTTCTACTTTCACTTGAGGAACATTTTGAATG